AAAGCTTCTACAAAATTTAGAAAAACGAAAGCTAACTATTTTTAAAAATTTATTTATATAGCTATTTTGAAAATTTTTAAAAATTTATTCCTTTAATTGAAAACTTAAATAAATTAATCAGTTTTATTTCAAAGACCATATGCTAGAATATTAACTATAAACAACTAATAATCCAAATGCTTTTGTAGTTGATTGCCATATTGGTTGTCTTTTGAAAATTAACTATTTTTATTTGAATTATCTGTAAAAATGTTTACTTTAGTTGTTTTTATAATAATAAAAAAACTTAAATTATGTGCAATTTGTTGAACCTTGTTTACAAGTGACACGGTTACTTGGTTATCTTGTTTACAAGTGACACGGTTACTTGGCTATCTGATAAATGAAAATGTGCCTAAACAAATGTTTATCTATCAACAGATGTAAATATTTGAGCAAACAATTTTAACGGGGTAATTCACCAAGTTTCTGTCTAGTTGGCCATTGCGTTTATTTGTTTTTGTAAGTTTTTGAATCTATTTGAATTGGTATTTCGACTTTTAAAGATAACTTATGGGGCACTTTGTCGAACGCCTGGGGAAAATAAAAATCTACAAAGTATAATCTTTAATCAATAAAAATCTATAACCTATAAAAAGTACATTTGTTCACTATCTTCCTATTTTTGTCTATAAATTAGTAACCCAAATTTTATTGTAAACAATTCTGTGTGTTGTTTTGCTATCAGTTTATTCAAGTAAATGATGATTCATTATTGTGTCTTTGGCAAATCACACAAACTTTAGATGGAGTAAAAGTCAAAGATACTGGACGGTTGCTACGTTACTACATTTATTACTCTTGTGCAATGGTATATATGAGTAATGAAAAGCAGCTTTCACATCCAAAAGATAATAACTAAAAATAAATTTTAGGTTTCATTCCTAATACAATAGAACAAAAAAGTCAAAACATTATTTAATATTTTTTTGAGTTTTTAAGGTTCTTCCAAGACCTCATATTTTCACGCGAAAGATTTTCTTTTTCAAAATTTATACCCACCTTTGTTTCAAAAGGGTCAGAATAAACTGATGTAGAATGAGACCCATGATACATACATGTGTATGCCCAGGAAAAAAAGTTCTATAGAATTTCTATAAATTTTTGAAACATATGGTCTATAGAAATTCTATAAAGCTCTGTAAAATTTTTTATAGAATCTCTCTTAATTTCTGTGAAGCTTTTATTCTACTTTTTTGTCTATAGAAAAAAAAGTTTTATAACAATTTCTATAGAAATTAATAGACATTCTATAGAAATTCTATAGAAATTTCATAGAATTTCTATACGCCATGTATTTCAAAAGTTTATAGAAGTTCTATAGAACTTTTTTTCCTGGGTGTATATAACATAAACTAAATCTTAGCTTTGTGTATGTCATTTTCAATAAATTATAGATTTTCCTAAAAAATACTTAACTGATTCTAAACTTTTGCAAGTGACTGTATACTATATAATTATATAATCATATTATGAAGTTGTGAAAAAATTAGGACTATTATATTATTAATCTTTTTAAATTTAGTTGATGAGGACTTACAAGAATGCACGGTCGTTTTTAAAAACTTAAGAGCGGGATTTGTTAGAACTATATATAAAAAAAGCATGCAAAAACAAATCTTGCGGTGCGGTCCTTTTTTTATCATGTATAGCTCAGAAAGCATATTGGTATTAAAAATTGCAATGCCGATTTGTATGTATTTTAACATTAAATTTTAATTTTTATTTATCATTTGAAGTTATTAATTACACTTATGAATGATTAATGAGGAAATAATGGTGCAAAAAAAAACACAAAAAAAACAACAACAACAAAAACAACAACAGCTGATAAAAAAGGCATCATAACGTGTTTATAACCTAATAAAAACAAAATTTAATGCTGCTGAAAAATTTTAATCTCCAAAAGTTTAAAGATGGGTGTTGAGGGGTGTTTGATATCTTTAAAAGGGAATAGATCATTATTCAATTTTATTCAACAAGGATTAATTCTTCTTATGTTTTCTTCATCAGTCCTCAGTTATTTTGCTTTTGCATCGATGTTTCAACCACTACAGTGTTTCAGTAAAGAAATTGTTTACATAACCTACGTAATGTGGTTTTTAACATTTGTAACTTGTTTTATTATTGTACTTTGTTATATTGAAGAGAGTAGATTTGAAACAACAAGAAACAGTTGGGGAGAGATCTTCTATAAAAAGAAAGCAAGCGTAGCAAATTTTTTAAAAATACCCGGAAGAATAAATAAAACTTTTAATTAGAATGAAACTTTCAGATAATCGCAAAAACAACAATATACGACAAAAACTACATTGAAAAACTAATACGAGCATACACAGTCATAGGAAACTAGTATAGATATTAAAATATAGTTCTATATATATCCATTTAAACAACTAAACTTGATTAAGTATTTTTTTTTGTCAAGTTATGTATAAAGCTTGCTGTGAATCTAGTTTCTTCTAGTTTCTTAAAACTTTGGTGACACTTTATCCATAAAAAAAAATGGTTGAGCAAATTGAGTAAATTAAAATTAGTTAGACAATAGCTACTTAACTATACTTAATTATATAAAATATGAAAGTTTTAGTTTTTAATTTTAAAGCAAGTAAAATAATTATTTTTAACTTCAACACATACGCAGTTGCAAAGAGATGTAAAGAACAGAACAGATGAATTATTTAAGCACCTGTAGATCACACTTTTTCTTAAAAAACCAGACTTAATGTTACTCTAATAAGCTCCAATAAGAATAATATTATATGCGTTTAAGTTTACTGTTATAAAACTAAATACTTTTAAAAAGAAAAACTTTTGATTAGGATAACTGTTCTACAACTTTTAAAAGTTGTGTAATTTTTAAGTTAGATATTACTTCATAGATAAGCACATTGCATCAGCTAAGATGTTGCATCAACAATAATGATGTTGCATTGATATATTGAAACAACATTGCTAGCTAAAAAGCTAGATATGTATCAATTAACAAGATTTATGTTTTTCTTTATGTTGCAGTTAACTACATACATACAACCTGAAGCTTACAATATTTCATAATAAAATCGCTAGTTACAAAGCTGCAATATGTAGCCATTGACTGGCTACATATTTGTCGCTATGCTGTAGCTAGCTAAAATGCTGCAAGATGTAGCTAATGATATATCTAAGTATTTTTGATAGCTACAAAGCTGCGATATCTAGATAAAAATACCTACAAATTGATGTCTAGATGACATAGTTCAATTAAAAACAAAAGTGTATAAAAATAAGTATATAAAAATAAGTATATAAACATTAACACATTAACATAAGTATATTAGCATAAGTATATTAGATCCAATTTTTAAATTTTTTAAGACGTAAAAAATAAAAAAATTGGATCTAATATACTTAAGAATAAAAATAAATCGCTATAAAAAAATAAAACATCTTTATAAAGCTTAATAGTCACAAGCTCATTTCCCACTTTTTTTAATTGAAAAAAAGATGAAGCCTCCCTCCAAAAAAGGAATGCAAATTATCGCATTTTACTACTACCGGTAATACCGCAATGATTTTTATCCAATACCGGTAAAACCAGTATTATACCAGTATAAAAACATAGTTAAAAACTTAATTTTAGCTTTTATCAGCAATTTATCAGTTATTTTGTCAAGCTACAGAATGCTTGTATGAAAAACATAAAGTAGTAGTTTGGATGATAAATCTAGTGATTTATCATCCAAACTAGACTTTATTTAGATACAAATTATGCCAGCAGCGGAAACCCTTTGAAAGATGCTTTCCTTTAGAATGCTCTTTATTAAACCATTGTAACTATTTTTTTATCAAATGCATTTTTGATAATGTTTAAATTTTGAGGGGTTTTTCTATTTTTTTATTACTAATACCATGCAGTTTGAAAAAAATAAACACGCACCGCGAAAAAAATATACACGCATCGCGAAATAGTATCCCTAAAAAAAGACACCTAAAGTACAATATCTATTAGCAACAACTGAAACCGATGTATTTTTTTTTTTTTTTAAACACAAAAAAAAATTTATTTGTATAAAACTGATTACAATATTTAAAAAAACTAAAAGGTGTTTTAAAATATGAGATATAAATATAGTTTTGTTACCACTCATTTTCAAATTTTTTTGAAAACTTCAAATAGTTATATAAAATCCTATCTTGCCCTTTGCGCCATCTTATCCGGTTTTCTCCATATTTTCTCCATATTCTATAACAATTTGTATGGCCTAAATTAATATTATTAATTATTAATAATATCCTAATGGAAATATAACGATCGTTAATAATTTTTAAAAGGAATTTATTGTGTAGCAATTATTTTACCTTTTTTTTTTTTTAGAAATTTTTTTTCAATCGGAATATTTTTTATATTTTATCTCCTTCTTGTGATAGTAATATTGGTAAATATTTACAGTGGCACATTAAATATTTAAAGACGCCTGGTAGTTTAACAATTTCCACGTTTGGAGGCAAATTGAATAACTCAACAAATTTTTAAAATTTTAAAATTACATATTTTAGGGTAATACAAAAATTAGTTTATAAACATAAAACTAAAAATGAAAACCAACATAATCAAATGACATTAAATAAAAATTCCGGTATTAACACAGGTATTCAGAGAACAAACACCCGTAATACAAAACTTTATTATGCAAGCAAATACCTGTACTACCGGTTTTGCATGCCCTACTTTCTCCCAAGAAAATAAAAATATTTAAGTATGTTTTTTTTTTATAAATAGATTTTTTATTGAGATAATAAATATCTTAAATTAAAAAAAAATGTTATTATCATAATTAATAAGTTTTTGTATTGTTAGTTATTAATAATTGATTTGCTTTCCAATTATAAAGTTAATGCATAGTTTTTAATGTGATCGTTTTAATCTCCTCTGACTAAATCTAAAAAAATAAAAAAGTTAATAACGATGGCAACAGATTGCTATAAACACAATAAGCATTAACTCCATTTAAATATTTTTGCTGCTAAGATATTTTTAAGAACTTATGAGATGTACAGTTGGAAACATGGATAATCTGTATGCATAAAAGTAAATAATGGTTTTAAGTTGTAAGTATATGTATATATGTTTTAAGTTGTAAGTATATGTAATATATATATATATATATATATATATATATATATATATATATATATATATATATATATATATATATATATATATATATATATATATATATATATATATATATATGATAAAATAGGACTCAAAATTCTTGTAATACAGAGTACTAATATATTGATATTAATAAAGAAAATCTTTTTTTTTTATATGCATTAACAGATTTCAAATAATATTCAAACATTAAAAAAATGAAGTTTAAAATTTGTGGATTAATATAAATTTAGTTTAAAAATAATTTTAAATTTGTTGCTCTTATACATAGGCTTCGAGATAGAGTTACAAGTTAAAGGGTTTTGTTGTTAACAGGCTCCAAGCATTGCATTTTTTTGCAAAGCATTTTTGTTTTACGTTCACAGAGACATACTCAAGTTTAAACTTAGCTCCATGTTTGAAAGTCACTTTTCTCAAACACCAAAAAAAAACTCGATTCTTGCACAAACATATTAGTTGTAAAGATAAAGAAATTACAATAGATCAAAAAAGCTCTTATACCAGATCTTTTTATTTTTGTAATTGTTTTAAAAGAGTTTTAATACTTTTGCGTCTTTTTTGGACCAAGCACCCGTTGGAGAAAGGAAATTATTAATATTATTTGAGCAAGATACAAAGCATTTTGAGCATCATCGATTGCCAGACAATATGATTTGATTTGGAACCCCCCTGGTGGGTTGTTTTTTTATTTATTTATTTATTAAGGTGGTCCAAGGTTTTTAATGGGTTTACTATTATTGTGTAATTTTCAAAGGCTGATCTTTGAAAACTACTTAAATATAGCAAAAAAAATCAATATTTATTTAACTTTTCAAATTAAATAAATAAACAGATTTTGTCAAAGTATTTTTTTTTATTTAAGATTTTACATATAATGTAATCAGAAATTAAGAAAATGCTTCTTAGATTTTTTATAAAAGAAATTAAATGCTAATTTGGTCTTATTAATTTGGGCTCGTTTTCTGATATCTTTTTCCCAATATCTTTTAAATCACGACCAGTGTTATCTACAATTGAACCTGTCATTTTGAAAAGGACACAAGTCCAAAACTTTTAACAGTTAGTTTATAAATTTAAACCAAAAATTTCTGTACAATATATGTTTTTTTTATAAAAAATAAAAGTAACATAAGTTATATATGTTCTTAATTTATCTACTTCTATGCTTAGTTTCTTTACCAGCGTAGACATTATTTTAATAAAAAACATGTTTTTGTTTATTTTGAAAAGTTTTAATAAATGGACTTGTGCCCTTTTTGAAATGACAGGTTCAATCGCATTACATTTCATACATACAAGAGCATTTTAAGAACCTCAGCTTTATTAGCTATGTAACAAAAAGTTCTATTATTACTGGTTATATAGGCTAAGTAACCTCTCTTGCTATTGAAATATGTTCTTCTTTGATTATTTCTGTTATTTAATTGTGTTTTTCCATAAAAACAAATGCAATATTATTTCACTTTTCCTGTCTTTAATTAAATTATTTTGTTTCTGATTTTTTCCTATTAAAAATGTTCAATTCATTTTGTATACCCCGTGTCTTTTAGAGTAATATTTATAGTAGCAGCAATTGCACTGCAATTCACTTAACATCAATCTCCTGTGATTTGTAAAGAATATATACAATCCTCTATTCATTGTAATGAATATTTATAACAAGTTGGTTTTGATGACATTTTTTAAGACATCATCAGATTCCTGAAGTATTCTCTTTGCCTTTTTGCCTTTTTCGTGCTATTTACTCAAAGTTTTATTTTTCTTTTGACATGAATTCACTGTTCTTCAATTTGACCGCCAGGTTGAAACTCTCCCCACTCCTGATTTTTTTGCATTTAATTAATCATATGAATTAGTAATCACAATTTAAGTTGTCAGAAAAATCTGAACTAAGTGCTAAGTATATATTTTTTCAAAATTAAAACTTGTAATTTTTTGTTTTTTTTCTTGCTAAGTTTGATTAAATATATATAACAAATAAATATATAACACAAATTATATTAAAGCTACTAATTGTTAAAATTAAAATTCACTACATCAGATTTGAGCTTTTCTAAACAATTTTTGTGTCCTATAGTTTTTTTATAGTTCACCCAAATTTTTTTAAATTTGAGGTGAACAGCTTCATCACATTGTTCCGCGTAGTTTCCTAAGTTAATATTATTGTGTTCTATAGGGAAGAACGTGAGTATGTATATTGTTTATAATATTGTGTACTTTTAATCTTTGTTTAGTATTGTCATGTATTTTTGTGCATTGTTTATATTGTCTTGTGCAATGTTTATATGTGCGATGTTTACAATCTCATGTTTATATGTGCGATGTTTATATTCTCATGTATTTTTTGCATACTCTCATATATGTCATTATAATGTCATATTCTTGTGTATAAAAGTTTACTTTTTTTTGTATTATAAATTATTTTTTTACAACTTTTTGTATAGGTTGTTACGTTTTGTCAATATATACTGTTTGCAACTTCCCCTTGTAATGTATTTGCAACTCCCTCAATTTGAGGGGGTTCAAACTTTATGTGGTCATAATTTTTGATCACTAAAATATTTTACTATGAAATTTAAAATTAATCGATCAATGTAAGTCTAGTTGAAAGAAGTACAAAAATTATTTCATCAACTTGTTGCTCTCACGATTAGGGCAGGTATAAATGATGTTTTTAACAGCTTTAATTTTGCAACGATCATGAGAAACTCCTCTGCTAAAAATTAATAGTGAGAAATATAAAAATATTCTAATGGTAACTTGAATTTACATAAAAATCAATAATACATTAAATCAAACTGTAATGTAACATAATAGGTATGTGGGTAAAAATTTTAAATTATTTATACAATACATAATACATCATTAAAAAGTACATAAACCTAATATTACAAAAGTGAAAATTTCATAGAAATTGGATCATTCTACTAAATGTTATGTGAATTTAAGTTATAAAATTTGACAACAAAGAGTCCTTAAGAAAACTGTGACTAATTTTAAAAAAACCCGTTCGGTCAACGGCATTTTAAAAATAATAGTTTCACATAATACCAATCTCGTTTGAAAGTTAGGGACATGTGACTAGACTTGACGTTTTAAACGATAACAAAAATAAAGCTGATGACTATATACCTATTTTGTGAGTAAAAGTGGTGTGTCTGCAATACCAATTTTTTAAAATGAAATTTAGTAGGTGTTTAGAAAAGATATATAGAGGTTGAGAAAAATAGGTTTAAAAAAAATATTTCCATAACTTCGATAAAAATGCAATCTTGGAAAACTAATAAAGTTTTCAAAAGTAGAAACTTCAATGAAAACTCAGAAAATTGAATTAAAAGAAACACACTGCAATAAAGTTAAACCATTCAACTATTTAAAAAACATTCTTAAACAGAAGACTACAAAACAAGTCCTAACTAGACGAACACCAAATAAAGTTTGAAAAACGTGGCACGGAATCCAACTGAGAAAAACGGTACCGTAAAACACATATACGTAGATACCTAAACATAAAGAGAATCAAACTTTAATTAATCTTATTTAAAATATAAAATCATAGTATTAGCATATCAAGATTCAAATAGCAAAGCCGACAGATTTTCTCATTGAAACAACCTACTGAAGGACAAACTTCAAGATCAGAATCGAAGTTGGGCCAGATGGTGTTATAGGTGTTAAAGAAATTGATTTGATAACTTTATTTATCAAGCAAACTGCACAAGCACATAATTTATAATCGAACGCCTTCTTGAAAAGTGATAGTTACATCTGAAAAAATGCCGTTAACAGCCTATTTTGACTACCATAATGGCTGACTTTAATTAAACTTACAAAAAAAATTAATTATGAAAATATACATACTTAGCACTTTGTTCAGATTTTTCTGACAACTTTAATTGTGTTTACTAATGCAAAAAAATTAGAATTGGGGAGAGTTTCAACCTGGCGGTCAATTTGGAGAACAGTAAATTCTTCAATTTACTGTTCTCCAAATTGTCAATTAATTCTAACAAAATTCAAAAAGAATTTTGTTAGAATTAATTTGAATTTAAAAAAAAGGTAAACATAGAAAGTTTTAAAAAACTTTTTTTTATTTTTTTTGTTCTTGTTGTTTTTGTTTGTGTGTGTGTGTGTTTTTTTAACCAATATTATATTTTACACCAATTCAATTTTCACAAAGTGCTACAGGTCAAAAATAAAGAAAAAGTTTCATTCTGAACCGTATATATGTGTTTTAAGTTTACATTATTAATTCTGGAACTAACCTTTTCTTTTTAGGGTATGCTCTGGCAGCCGTAGCATGTGGAGTTCTACTGGGATCAGCTTTTATAGTGTTTATTATTGCCAAATCCTGTTTTAGAAAACCAAAAAACTATGATACTTTGATTCAAACAGATGACGAATTAGAAAAAGGTAAAACGCAGAACAAGGTTGATTTTTCAATGAGCTCAAGTATAGAAAATGTTAATTACATAACTGAATCGAATGCAGACTCAGCAACTTCAGAGGCGGAAAGTTATGAAACGGTATCAGCATACGGAGATTCTTTAAGTTTTCAAAAACATCAACTTAATGAATCTATTAACATACAAATAATGTTCTTTTTAAACACCAAGCATAAAAACATTTACGTTGCAGGAAAAGTAGCTAATGTAACAAATTTAGTTAGCAACATGCCAAAAGGACAATACAAAGTTCATATTGTGTTGTTACCAATAAAAAGATATATTATTAAAACAAAGTGGTATGACGTCAAGAAAACTATTGCAGTAATAGATGAATATTTCAAATTCATATTTCAAACAAACCCAGATTTGAAAAAATCAACTTTGCGAGTTCGTGTTTACAGTCGACATAACAAACACGCTTTTAAATCAGAGTCTTGTGTAGGAGAGTGCTTTATAAAGTTAAGTGAAATTAAAGAAGATAAAGCATGCATATTAAGACGAGCAATAAGTGTTAATGATTCCAAACCCGATTACCAATAAAAATTTGCATTAAAAAAGAGATAATACAAATATGGTTACACTGACACAAATGGTATCACGATTAATATAGATTTTACTATATTCGTTGTTACTACACAAGCGGGTACAGACGTCTGTGAGACGTTTATACGACGTTGAACTGACGTCACAAGTTTTTATAACATCCTATAGACGTCAAGCAGACGTTCTGTGGCCCCTGTGTATTGACACAAATATTGTGACCGCTGACCTAGGTATTGCGACATTTGACACAAATTTTTCTGACAACTAACGCAATTAATATATGATTAGTTTATTTTTATATGAAAAAAACAATTATAATTTTGATGAAAAATTTTTCTTCCGATGAAACAAAAAATGTCAAGAAAGAAGTCCAAACTAGCTAACAAACATAATGACTAGCTTCACTGCTAGTTTTTGATTTAACAAGTTTAGTCGCTAAATTTCTAATTTTTGATTGACAAGTTTAGAGTTGCTTTATTTTATTTTTTGACTAATTATTTTGAATACGCTTTGAATGTCTCAAAAAGTTAGAAACTAATGTAAATTTTAATGCTTCAATACTTCAATACTTCAATACTTTACTTGCAAAATACTTCAGATTGTAAAAATATAGAGAAAAATTTTTTAAAAATTATTGCGTTCTAATGTTATAAATTGTGCACTTTTAAATTTAAGGTAGGCTTTCACTTTTTGCCTTTGAGCTCTGTAGCCCTTATGATACACTTTTTTTGTAATTGTAGTCTTAAAAAATGAGGATAATTTTGTGATAAAGTCTTTTCTTAATACCCTAACACATTTTTAATTTTCGAAAGAACAAATTTATTACTTTGAAAAAAAACACCCCTAAAATACTCATCTGGGACTGTCATGATAAAAAATGGCTCATGAAAGTTGTTCAAGTAGTCTATGACTATACATGAGGTTTGAGGAAGCTTTCTCATAGCGCAACATTAAAAACTAAACCTGCTATCATTCAAAAGTTTATCTGAAACTGCACCTACTCCTGTAATAACTTTGTTTATAGAGCACTCAAAGTTCATTGGTTTATCGAGACTAGAATCTGGAATCGGTTTATTAATTCTAAGACTAGGATTGGGTTGAAAACAGGTTGTCTATCTAAGACTAGAATCTAAGACTAGGATCGGGTTGAAAGCTCCATATTCTGTCTTTGTAAAAAATGTTGTGAACGCTTACAAAAATGAATAAATAATCACCTAAAAATAAAAAATGTAGTGTCAAAGTAAATGCAATAAAAGTGAAATAAAAACAAAGAAATACATTAAAATTATATTTTCACTTTTTTTGAGCTTTACGTTTACCCAGAAACATCCTAAAGATGATTTTTATGTTTACTCAGTTCCAAAAATTTATATGTTTATAAAGTTTGAACCCCCCTCAATTTGAGGGGATTACAAATTTTAGAAGATTTTAACTTTTAAACACTAAGAGATTATTGCATTAAATTTAAAACTTATCGATATATAAAATATTTTATTGACTTGTTTCTCTCACGTTTCGGGCAGTTGTGACCAAAATTTTAGAGTTTTTTTATTCGAAGGCAATCATCACAATTTTTAACAACCCAGGAAAAAAAGTTCTATAGAATTTTTACAAACTTTTATAACATATGACCTATAAAATTTTTATAGAACTCTATAAAATTTCTATAGAATCTCAGTTAATTTCTATAGAAATTTATATAGAACTTTTTTTTTATACTTTTTTTTCTATAGAAAAAAAAAGTTTTATAGCAGTTTCTATAGAGATTAATAGATATTTTATAGATGTTTTATAGAATTTTTATAGGCCAAATGTTTCAAAAGTTTATAGAAATTCTATAGAACTTCTTTTTCTTGGAAAAGCATCTTTATTTGACATAAGTGTAAATATATAATTGTTTGGAGTTTGTTCCATGTCTGGAAATTATTTATCTCAAACATCAAAAAATTATGGATCCGCCCATGTATAATATCATAGTCCACTGTTTTTCGAGACAAAAAAGTAATCCTTTATTGTGCTTACTTTAGAATTCGTATAAATTGGAGATTCCCGATACATTACGTAAAGCTAAATTTACTTTAAATCAGAAGTAGATGATTTTTTGCTCTTTTGCGCAACAATTTTCATTGCACTTAAAACGCTATTTTGATTTTTGGTTTGATTAGAGACTTCGCGAGAAAAACATTTTTGTTTAGTTGATAAGTAAAACATAAGGTTTGGTAAATTATCGACATTTCCTTGTTAAACTGTTTTTGAATTTTATTTGTTTTATGATTCTAATAAATTTTCACATATTATTAAGTTGTGATAATTTAGAGCTATTAAAGTAGCTCATAATTAATATTAGGATAGACCGGGGCAGGTTCAGGCTCAGTCGAGTTTATTGAAAGACCATTTAAGAAGGCTGTATATTTTCATCATAACAAAATTAATTTTTTTTTTTTCAGCTTTAATTTCTGGTCAATCTAATCAGTAGAAAGCTTATTTATTATTTTTTTTTTACGCATTTTTATTAAACGATCGTCGCAATAAAGATCTAATTCATTAATATTTATTATTGTAGTCCAACAAGTTGACAATTTTCAGCTCCATCATAACTGCCCATCGTTACATCAAACCATTTTAACTTTAGGAGTCCATGGTAGATTAGTTATGAATAAACTAGTTTTAGTAAATCCAAAACATTAAAATAAAAATTTAAAATTAAAATAAAAAGTGATAAAAGTTTTAATTTCAATAAACTTCATAAATAATTAATTAAAAAATAAAAAAATAATTAATAATCTATAAAAATAATTAATAAACAAATCTGAATTAAATTAGATTAACTTCATATGAATACGTACTTCATATGAACACGTACAATACGTATCAACTTCATATAAATGAACCTTGATAATTTCATACCAATACGTACCTAAACTATCAAGATGATGTTATAATAGCCAAAAAAAAGCGGCTAACTAGTTAATTCAAATCTAAAAGCATCAACTTTTCATAATAAGTAGTAAGAGTGTCCTGGAGAACATTTTTTTATTATCCGACTAGACATCGAATACCCGGATATTTAAAAATTATTCGGCCGGATATCTAGACGGATAATGTATCTCAAATCCTAAAATGTATAGTTTATTATGACAAAATATAATGTGATAAACCTTCAAAATCGCGAGTTTTGTTTGGAAGCTTTTCAAAATTAATGGTAGCTGAGGTTTCACAGCAATATCCATTCCATAAAGAAAGCAGATAAGCAGGGAATGTAATAAATCTGAAGAAGGAAGAAATCATTTTGCACAACTCCACTGCATAATCACGCAAAAAAATTTCATCATAAATTGCATGAAAAGGAAAAACAAATTATTATTAAATCTTCTCCAGCTGCACAAGGAGGTTCAAAATGTATTAAATTCTGATCAAGTCTCCTTTTTAAAAGCTGCTCAAAGAAATAATGTTTTCTTTAATCACTCGATTATAGAAAAAAATGCTGACGTTTTAAATTATTAGAAACATGAAGAGAAGTTTCCACTGCTAAAAGAGTTAGCACTTATATTACTAGTACCACCTGCATTCTCTGTATTTTCGGAAGATTGTTTTCATTATTTATGAGAAAAAACGATCAAGGCTAGAAATGTTAATTTCTTTATCTTAAGGTAAAAGAAATAGAAATAAGCGATAAACTGATTTATTTAGCGGTATATAAAAAACCGGACAAAGTTAATATCTGACGGGATATTGAATACCGAATTATACTACTATCGGTCGGATAACTTATCCGGACACCTCAAATAAGTATACCCCGAGCGTATCAGCAATGATTCAGGCGGCCCTTGATGTTATAATCTCTAGTTTAAAAGAATTTCAAGAAGCTGAAAAAGCTGCTTTCTACTCTAAAATTCAGCAATTATCTCATACAATTCTTAAACTTTCAAATGAGTTCTCTACTAAATCAAGACATGATCAAACTTGGTCTAGCTTGCTTAAAAACAACCAAAACCAACAACGCCATATTACTGCACAAAATAGTAAAAGAAAATATATTACAAAGTACTTTAGAAAATAGTATTATCATAAGAGGAGTTACTGAATCCGTTGATTCTTATCCAGAAAAATCAAATATTGTTTACGTCAATGAAATATTAGATATTATTGGGCTTTCTCGAGATCATGTGAAAAAAAAACTCGACAAAAAAAAATTTCAACTCAAACAGCAAACTTACCTCAAACCACAATACAACCGCATTTAAAAATGTGGTTTGAGGTAAAATGTATGTCAAGCCTGATAAGACTAAAAACAAGCGTCTCATTGAGAACAAGTTGAGAATTGAAAGAAATAAACGAAACGAAATGTTATCGGAATAAACCACAAGAATAAACCCTGTTGTGAGGCATCTTAAATACAATGCAAAAAGTAGGAAAAAAGGCTATTGGGGTCTCCGTTCTGCAGAAATCAAATGTTTTGAAATCATCGTATAATTCTAACACGTCCTCTAATTTAAACTTGAACAATAGATCAACTAAAAAGAAATCTTATTTATCAAGTTATTTGCTATCAGTATTAAATTGTTATTGTTTAAACGCAACCTCTTTAGACAACAAAAGGAAAGATTTTAAAGACAGAACATCGCTTGAATATCCACATATCCTAGCTGTCACAGAGACCTGGTTCACACGAATCTCTCTGACTGATTTAGATTAATTATTGTGTATATTTATGTAATAGAGAATTAAGAGGTGGTGGAGTTGCTATCTATATCAGAAAAATTATCAAATTTTTTGAATGTAAATTTAATAATGACCAATTAAACGAACAAGTTTGGTGTGAAGTTATTATTGGTTTAGAGCGCATACTCATTGGCTGTATCAATCGTCATCCACACATTAATCATGAACCTTATATATTTATTAACAAATCTATTACGCGTGCGAAGTTATTAAGTTATATAAGTTATATTCTTTATCAAAAATTTGGAAGCTTTATTATTATCCCTTGATACTTTAAAGGGTATGGGTATTGATGTTATGCACGCTTATGTTTAAAATTTTTGCTAAGCTAGTTTCAGTAGGAAACTTTCACTGATATCTAAATGCTCCATAGTTTCTTGTCAAGTTCTATCTTATTAAAAGCTTGCAAATACCTCACCCATTCACAAAAAAGGTTGTGGTACTGATCCAAGAGACTATCGGCCTATTTTGCTAACTTCTGTCATTTATAAGGTTAGGGAAACTTCGCAACTTTATGATACACTATTTGTACACCCACAATTTATTATCTTGTCATCAATATGGATTTGTTCGAAACCGTTTGTGTACGACTTAAAATTTAGATATACATTATTACCGAAGGTCTTAATGATCGTTGTTCTTCACTGCTTATTCTTTTAAACTCCACTAAAGCATTTGATTGTGTCTGACGCATTCTTCTTCTCCTGAAACTTTGGAAGAAGATATAAGAATTAAAATACGGTTGGTGTGATTTTGAAAT